GAGGAGGAGGAGGAGGAAGAGGAGGAGGAGGAGGAGAAACAACATTGCCAGGGACCTGTGAGACAGCCCTGCTGTGAGGGTGCTGTATCTACCCGAGAAACAACTCACTGCTGAGCTGACTCACACTGGCACATGGAATCTATGCTAGACCCAGGATGGGTCACTTTAGGCCCTGTAACCTTTAGTGTTTTTAATCACCAAACTTAAAGATATATGGACACTTCTGGTTCTTCATTTACCTCCCCTGGATCTTTGTTGATGGAATTTGGTGGAGAACTCTGTGTGTGTGTGTGTGTGTGTGTGTGTGTGTGTGTGTGTGTGTGTGTGTTTCTACTTTCCCACTTTAGCTACATGACAGGGAAATGATATAGATGGAAAATTCTCTCGCACCTAAGAATCTTCACATTTTCTCTTCAAGGAAGAGAATCTAATCTACAAGAATAGTAGAGCGTGAGACTCACTTGGTCCAGAACCTCACAACTAATTATCTTCAGATGGTGGGGCAGAATCAACTGCTGGCAGTGGAAGAATGTCAAGTCAGGGAAGCAAAACTTGGCAAGAGGCTCGTGGGAAACAAAGGCAAGAAACATGTATCTTAGAAAGTACAAGACCTCTGAGGTTCAAGGATGGCACAAAAATATAAGGTTTTATGGGATGTTGCAAGATTTAGAGAATGAACGGAAAGTTATCCCATGTTCATGGCTTAGAAGACTATATTGTTGAGATCAACATACTCCTCCAATGGAAGTAAAGATTCAGTGCAAATCCTTATTAAATTCCAAGCCTGTTTCTTTGCAGAAATTAACAAGCTGTTCTTAAAATTCTTATGGAAATACAAGGGACCCAAAGCAGCTAAGACAACATTGAACAAAAATTAGAGAAATTCACTTGAAATTTTAAAATTAATACAAAACTACCAAAATATGTTAGTATGGTACTGGCAGCAGAGTAAACAAATAGATCAATGGAACAGAGAAGAGAGTCCAGAAATAAACTCTCATATTCCTGGTCAAATGACATTGGATAGGGATGTTAGGACAACTCAATACAACAAAGACTAGTTTTCCAAAAATTATTTGAAGACAAAAATGCACAGAATGAAAATTTCTACCTAATATATTACACAAGCTAGTTTAATTCAGATCAAAGATCTAAATGTAACAGCTAAAGCTATACAATTCTTAGAAAGAAACCCACAAGAAAAAACTTTAATAACCTTGGATTAGGCAAATGTCAAATAATGGATAAATAAACAAAATGTGGCATATACATACAAAGGAATATTATTTGTTAATGAAGAAAGAAATATTAATATAAGCTATCATATAGATGAACCTGAAAAATACATTGAGTGCAAGAAGGTGGTCACAAAAGGCCATATATTATGACTCCATTTGTTAAAAATGTCCGGAATAGGAAGATGCGTACAGACAGAAAGATTGCTGGGGATCCAAGGTTGAGAGTGGGGTCAGAGGAAGACGGAGTGACTGCCAATAAGGTTGGAGCTCCTTTCCAGAGAGAAGAAAATGTTCTGATATTACTTGTGTGATTCTTTGCCCAACTCTTGGAACTTGTGAAACATCACTGAGTGTACACTTTAAGTGTGTGAATTGCAACGTTGTACGAAAATTTCAAGAAAGCTGATATAAAAGTAAATAGTTATGCAGAAAGACAGGAAGTAAAGATTGATGGAGGGACTTCAGTTTGGGAAGAGTCAGGAAAACAAGCAAAGCAAAGCAGTGCCCTGGGCAGACTAATTATTGAGTGGAGAGCAGAGATGCAGCTCCATGAGGGGAGGATCCAGGCGGGAGCTGAGGCCCCGTCCTGGCGGACGTGAGGCCAAGTCCTTCCTGAGACATCCAGACCAAGGTCAGTGCAGCTTGTGGGAAGGGTCAAGTGTATGTGGCTGTGGAGGTGGGAGCTTGGAGGAGCCACGTGGTCCCTTGGGCCAGATACTGAGCCCATCAGGCAAGAGCAATGAGTGCTGTGTGAAGCACAAACCAGACAGCTCTGCATTTATTTCCTGCCTGCAGGGACAAGGGCTTCCTGTCCTGGGCTCTGTAGTGTGGACATAGTTCTCATGCTTGGTGGGCACCGCTTCACTGCCACTCCACTGTTCCCTGAGGGCTGGGAAGAGCAAGCGACCCCCATACAGTATGAGGTCTTGTGGGGGGCATATCTTTCTGTTGGGATCCCTCTGTGCAGGTGCAGGGATCCTGTAGCTGGCTAGGTGGCTGTAACCACCACAGTACCTAGAGTCCATTTCTGTTGTCATCCCACCTGCCCCACCTAGGTGGACACTCAGTTTTTAACTTGTCATGGCCACCCACTGAGACTGGGTGCAGAGCCCTACATGAGAGATCCATCAGTGCTGCATGCTGAATGTGACAGAAAGTGGTGTCAGTGGAACATGTGAGTTGCAAAGCACTCTGGAAATATGTAGGGCAGAGTGAAAAGGGAAAAAAGAAAAGAAGAGATACCACACATGGGTACACTCATCCCCTTGATGTAAGAGGCAAGAGGAGCCCAGTGGGAGGCCCTGAGAAGCAGCCTTAATCTCACAATAGTTCCTTGTGCCTTCTGCCCTCCACTTCTCCTGCCTTCTTCTGTCAGAAAGGCCAATGTCCCCTCTCTCTCTTACAGTCCAGTGATTACAGGAAGCATGAAATGCTAACTCATTAATCTTCACAGAAGTAACTCATCAAAACCTTACAGGAAAGAAACCTTAGGGTCACAGATGTGGGTTGTGGGGGAAGCAGAGCCCCTGCTTCAACTCAGTGCCATAGCAGCAGGTCTGCTTTCACTTGATGGTCCCTAAAGGCCCTGACTGAGGCCATGGCTGCCTCAGTATTCCTCAGTCACAGCCTTGTCCCTATCCTGGGAGCCTTGATGGTGCCTTGTCCTTGCACTGTTAGCAGAATGAATGAGGAAAACCATGAAGAATCTGAGAGGCAACATGTATGCACGTCCTCAGGAGGCTCCGTGGACCTTTGGTAGCAACATGACATCTTCTGGGTCAGAGGTCAGAGGTCAAAGCCTTCTGCTACAAAAGACCCCTAGACAGCAAGCAAACCTGGGAAGAGCCAAGGAGTGGAGTGAGTCTCAAGTCCCAAGGGCTTTTTCCTGAACTGGCTGGGAATGGGCACATGGCTGGTGGTAAGGAATAACAAGTTGATGCGAAGGTGACCCATTTCCAAGACAGCAGAAGTGAAGACATCCACAAAAGTAGGGTAAACATTTTTGAGTCTCAGCATCAAACCCACAGATCAGCTAAGGTCCCTGTGGAGGGGTATTATAGTGCAGGCTGGGCCCTTCTGCCTTGGGTTCTGACTCTACCTGGGAGGTCTGAAAGCCCAAATGCTCAACAAGCAGTTTTCTGGCAACTTTCTCCAGACCCAAGAACCAGAAACGTGCATCCCAAGTGCGGCAGATCCCATGGAAGTCCCTGAGGATCTGCTCTCTGCATCAGTGTTCATCAGCCAAGATGGTGGCTTCCCACTGAATGGAAGAAATGATAGCAAAGGGAAAGCTCTGGAATGTGAGGGAAAGACCTAATTGGTGCAACTCCAATACCAAGGAGGAAGAGCAGGAGAAACTGTCCCCTGGAATGCCACACTAGGCTGGCTTTGCTCATACAGAGCAGGGAGTATGCCCTCCAGAGGGGCTGGAATGGGTCAGGAAGTTGACAGTCCACATCTGTGGGACGATGGCCATGCATAAATGGCAATAAGCTGGGTGTGGTGCTTCATGCCTTAATCCCAGGTACTCAGGAGGACCAGGAAAGAGGATCATGAGTTCAAGGCCCAAGTAGGCAAATAAATGACCTACTGAGATCTTATCTCAAACTAAAAATGAAAAGGGCTCAGTATATGGGTGCATGGGAAAACATTTGCCTAGCATTCATGAAGCCTTGGGTTCACTTCTGATGACCCCAGAGAAATACAAAAGAAAAAAGAAAAAAAGAAAAAGAAAAAGAGAAAAGAGAAAAGGGTAATGAGTCATCAGATGGTGTGATAACCCCAGGAACATGTGTTTATTAATTTGTTTATCAAACTGTTATCCACTGGTGGAGCTGTTGCCTATCCTTCATGAAGATCTGAGTTCTCTCTCTCTCTCT